ACATCTGAGCTGTAAAACCAAAGGAGGGTTAAGCTACAATACAGTTTGAAATAACTTTTAACACAAATCACTCTCGTTTCAATGCCAGAAGGTTTCTAACATTTTTGCCTGTTATTTAAGGTAAATATGGGAAATGTTACGTCTACAGTCAACTCTCGTTATTATGAAATTGGCCATAATAAATTCCGGTTATAACAATCACAAATCTGTGATCCCGGTGAAAATGCGCACATTTCTATGGGGAGAAAATCACTTACAGCGAAATTGCATTGTACAAAATTCCTGTTACAATGAAAGGTTTTCGTGACTCCACTGCCTGAAAAATCACTGTTGACGACACATGTATAATGAGCATTTGTGAATCCCGGTGGTGAAAACACATGCGCAGAGCACAACAATGGTTCCCAACGGCCCGAACCGTTGCCAACGAAGGCACGATGGAAATGCGGCAACCAGTCAATGTACAGTTCCTGCCAAAAAAAGGCTGTACGTTTCACTACATCGTATACGAATGCAGCTCTACAGTTGCAAGTCGAAGAAACACTGCCGTCACGAATTCTGCAGATTCATTCACAAAACTTGATCTCATGTCTATGTTTGTGTTTTCTAAGCTCATGAATTTAATTTGGGGTTGTACTGCTTGAACTCAAAAGCAAGCGTTTCCAAAAAATTTCCAGCCACAGCGTGAGGCTTATCGCTCGCCCCTCCAGATGCATCACGCACGCTTGCAATGCGATACGCAGACATCATTTGCCAGTTTCCTGTTGTCATGACAAGCGTAGTGCACGATTAAAAAATCAATGATTTTTTACATTGATTGCACTAATGCCAAAACAAAAATTCGCTTCCCTATTCCGGATCCGATAAAAATACGCCCCAAATAAGTTTGCTTGACTATTCTCGCCTCTCAAGAGCCCAACAATCGCCCACACTGAATTCTTCATAATGCCGCAAAAAGATGTAGCATACCCGCCAATAGGACTATGTGTTTTATGACGTACAGCTATCCAATCACAATATTCCTTCATGACATCATACTTCTTTAGCGACCATCGCACGCGGGCAGCTGCACCACAGTGGGCGTCACTGGGCGAGTGAACACGGACTATCAATCAATCGTGTCATGTGGCTAGTGTTGAAAATCATAAGACAGACGGAAAATCAAATAAAAACGTCTCTCCATGACACAATTTATATTGGAAAGACAACTTTAATGGATGGGGGGTCCAGTTGATGAGTCTTCACATTCTTGCAGGTACACACAGGCCTACATGTGCATGACATTTACTTACTGTTAGCTTCGTCGTCATCTATGGTGATCAAAAGTCTTTTAAAAATCCCTGGATCAATGTTTTCAATTTTTTTTTAATCTCACATGCACATCAAACATGTTACCATACGACAGTGAAGTTTATTATTCTAAACACATCACAATATATTTGAATAATTATAACCGAGAGATCTTTTTGATGTAACATCAACCAGGCGTTCACGTGTATGCACATACATGCATACACGTGCATATGCATGTACATGGTATTGTATAACAATGCACCAAAGCCACTGCACAGCGTTCCACCTACAACGAATTTCGGATACATCAAACGATTCTACTAAGTCCCACGAATTTTGTAATAACGAGAGTTGACTGTATTTAAAAGTAAAAATCAACATTGAAATATAGAAATCACTTCCTGTCTGTTTGAGATATCTCGTCTCTGACTTACTCTACTTCTTGCACATTAGGGAACAGGTACATGTGCCTGAAGCTATCGATGGCAATCACTGGGAGATCCTTGGGGGTCTTCCCTAAATGATGCAGTGGGTGCGTAAACTTGGTGCCGTCTGCCGTTAAGAAGTTGACACTTCCTGGGGAGACCAAGAAAAAAATGGTGTACTGACAATCATTCAGGGACCATGCACTTTTTCTATTTCTCAGGATTTTCATGAGCGTACAAACCGTAGGCTAGGAGGAATACCTGCCACATAAATCATTTTTTCCCTCTTTTGGTGGGTACAATCTGTGGGGGAAAGTCCAGTCCAAAGAGTTTTCTTTGTATACTTGTAAGATGATGAGAAAAGGGGTGGTGCCAAACTGGTTTGGGCTTAGCTTCCAGTGTTTTGAGCAGAGCAGGTGCACAAATCAATTTCTCCTAGTTTCAGCACTGGGGTGCCGTCCACCTGCGAAGAAAATCCTGCGCAAAAGAGCTGATGCCAGAGATAGTGCATATGTCTTTCTCAAATACTGAAGAATGAAAGAATGCCCATTCCATGGCAAAATCATACATGAAAAAAAAAGTCAAAAAGAAAGTTTTTCCAAACCTGTAAAATAAAAACAACGGTTGCGACCTTTTCCTGACGACTAGGACTTGAAAATGTGTTTGACATTCTTTCTAGGTATGCTTACCAAAAGAAAATGAACATTCATGACACATGCAATTCAAACTCAATTCGCTGAACTTAATGGCAGAGAAGAACTTGAACCATGTAGAATATAAAACAAATTGATTTACTTTTATACCTGTATAGTTACGCTCTATTATGAAAAACAAAGAGGCAAGAATTAGTCATCTTTGAGGCAAAGTATCAGACCAAAAAAAAACAATGAGGAAGCCCCAAACACTTTGAGAGGAACAAAAGAATGTGGTGCATGTCTTGCAACTGTAAATTTGGGTATCTCTCCAATCTGGGCTACCGTCTCTGATTTCAGACACTGCCTGAAACAGCAAACAAAAGAATCGCATTGCTGTCTTGAGGGACACCTGTTGGGATCCAACACCTCACTGTTTTGCTTGGACCATGTTATCGCTAATCTGCACCCCTAGAAACCCTTAGCAGCAAGAAACTGTGCACACATGCCTTAAAACTGAGAAGGTGAAGTGAGTATGAAGGGACTAGTTAGGACAGCATCCAGGGGTGAAGAGCAGTCCTACGTCATAGCTTAGCACAAGACCTGTCGGATCAATAGATCACGGTCCAACTTGACGCAAGCCAGATATAGTTTGTGTAAAACTGTCGTAGGACCTACTTGACAAAACATCAGGATGAAATGTGACCAACCTAAGAAGTGGGGCTCATGGAGCAAGCTTGGTACTTCAAAAAGGCGAGGTCATTCGAGAACAAAGCATCTGACACTGCGCCAGATCAAACATGTTCATCACGTCTGAGTTGGCGTACAGCTCTGGCTATATGGCAGACCTCACCAGCGTGTAGTGATGTATTGTGATAAAATATCAAAATAGGTCTTTGTAAGTTTTGCAAGGTAAGCAACAGACATTTTCCCTGGAGACACATTTTGAAGAATCTGACGGCTAAGCAGTAAAGTGCCCACTCTCAGTCATTTTTTAAAAAAATGTTCCGGTGAGAAAATCACAAATAAAAGAATCCTGCCAATGTCAGGGCACATTCCTTTGGCATCAAGTCTTACCCTTATCGCCAATCAGCTCCCTGCTGATGATACTGTTGAATCGTTTGACAACATCAGCATCCTCGGGTCTGTGGAACAGTATCAGGAATGGCAAGCCTTCCTCCGTCAATTCCTAGCCAAACAGAAAGCAGACAAAGAGAGACGGAAGACAAATCACGGCATCGTTCTGACAAGACAGCCAATGGCTGAAGATTTTGGCAGGACAAAGATGCCTCAGTTTCACCCTCAACTTATCAACTTAAAGTACTAACATCCTACCCACCAACTCTGCATGTTAATTATGACGGTTTCTACCTTGACAACGCACATGCACCAAGTCACATAGTCTACTGCGGTGTGAATTTCTCTGGCCATATTTCCTTGCCCATGAGCATATCTTTGCTTTAGACCGAGAAATGTGCTGCAGACAGTAAAATAAGCTTCCGGAAATTTGCTGCAATTCAGAGAAATTGCCTGTGGTGCAGGAACATTACATGGAGCGAAAATTATGATGAATACTACAACTTATCTAACATGTTAGCAGCAAAAAAACATGAATATTTGTTTAGAGTCAAATTAATAGAGAGATATTCAGATTGTTTTTATTTCTGATACTTCAACACTGACCCAAGATCATATTAAATTCAGCAACTGAGCATGGCTTTCTCACAAACGATGAACACCCCCCCAAAAATCTGAAAGTTCACCATGCAAAGCTGATAAATGTCATCACTTGTCCAATGGACATGAGTATGTGTAAGGCATAATTACCTCTCCGTTTTCAAAGGTAATTTCCCGCACCAGCGGGATGCATTTGTCCTGTGCCCAGGTGTGAAACAGGTTGAAGTTCAACATGGATCCCATGTACAGCATATCCTGGCCACTAGTCTACAGGAAAAAAAAAACAGGAAAGATGTTTTCATTGCGATGTAGATGCATGTAACGCTAACTTTGAAGATTAATCAGATGCTAAAAAACCCCTGGGTTTTAAGTGTTTCACTGCGATGAAAAGTGCCCAAAATATCACAGACCTCCCCCACCCGCTGGATTTTCGGGATACGATACCTACGTTTTCACCTGACCGCATTTAACTTCTCATCAATCTCTATCTTGCAAATTTTCAAAAGCTTACCCTTGGCGGTCTGAACATGATGTTATCTCCAGACACTGTTTCTGACCTGAAGTTCTCACTGTAAACAATGTCAACAATAATAACATGGTAAACAATAGCAATGACAGTGACAGACCTTGTCCCCACAAAACTGTAATAAAACTTCCAGACTCTCCAATGCCACTGCTTGCTACAATTTCCCGTATCTACGACTAACCCAATTCCGACGTGGAAGGAACAGTCATCTCTGAGAGCGCTTGCAACCCGTCTGAAGACAGAGTACTCGTTTGTGTTCACTGCCTTGAAGTACGCAATGATGTTGCGCTTGGATTGCTAGGGTAGGAGAACGGATCAAGACAGACAAAATTGAATATTTCTATCCGTGAAATATATCACTGGCATGGTGCACTGACTTCCTACAAGTCTGTTGTCTGCAACCAAATTTAAGCATAGGGGGTTGGGTTAGGTTGGGGTGAGGTGAATTGGGTTGTTTTAGGGGATGTTCATGTTCCTCCCTACCATGTTAACTATTTCACTCCTCAAGTAAACAGAAAAACCTTTCGTTTTCATTTTCCATGAAACATCATTCAACAGGAAGAATGTAATGAGGAGATGTACTGATCTGAATCACATTGCCAGAAATACAAGTATTTCAAAGAACAAGTAAAAAAAATACTATGACCCAAAGAGTTCTTATTAAAAGATGTGGCCTACGATTCTTTAAAAGATCTCTACACGTGTAGATCAGAAGTAGGTCTGCTTGACTTGCGACTCATTTCCGAAGGCTGGGTCACATCTTAAATGCAAACTTTGACACAGAGGCAACAGACGTTTCTGGACTCACATCAATCTTTTGGACATCCTCTTTGGTCTGCATCTGATTGATGCTGTCCTTGACCTGGTCTCTCAGGAAGTTCATAAAGGCATCCTTGGATCGCTGGGATCGATACTCCCGTTTCGCCAGCTGTCCATTCCGGAACATCTTCAGGGTCGGATACTTGGAGATATGGTACCTCTTGGCAATGGCATCTGGCAAAACAGAAACACAAATAATGAATTTAAAACAGCACAATTTACATTGTGCTGTTTTCAAAATATTTGAAAAAAATAAAACATACAGCACTCTCACCACCTAGCACGCATGACAAGTAAATATGCAGGGATTTCCTGCATTGTGACACTGAAGACATCTACGTATGCTCTCGCAAAAGTGCTACCCAATTTCTACACTCATCCCCATGATTGAGTGATTCCCTGCTGAGTTTGTGCACACAGAGATTCAAACTAGTCCTCGCAGGTTGAGCATGAAGGGAGTCGTCAAGTGCCACTAGGCCACACTCAGGCACTGTAGCGAAGATCCCTCATATACCTTGTGTTTGAGTTTTTTCAAAATAAGGAACAACGCAATGGGAAATGTTGCACGAATGATGGAATATAATGGGAAATCCACAGAATCAGACAGGGACTGAAACCCAATCCATGTGTGGACCGAGCCAGGAATCGAACCCGGACCACAGAGGTGAAAGGCGAGGAAAGACCCACTACACCAACCTGATTCCCCTGAAGTTGAGCACTAAAGCAACAGCAGGTCTGGTAGATTGAAACTACAACTTGATTTCAATCCTGTGCTCTGTGATGGCTGTGTTTCATTATGTACAACAAATGACCAAAGCCCATTTCAAGCACATCTTCGAGAACTTTTACTCAATTTCTGAATTTTTGATCACAGAAATGTACAAATCACAGAACGTTTCCAGAACGAAAGCTGGTTGCCAGCCAAAATGCTACATGTTGAGCACAGAGACTTACACACGGTAACCATCTGCTTAGCACCTTAAGGATTTCTAGCTAAGCAACGAACCTTCAGTTTCACAGTTCACCGCCGCTACCACCACTTGGCCAGGTTGCCTGAACTCTTCCCTCGCTGCCTTGGCAGTGTCTTCTATCACCGGCTTCAGCATCTGACTGAAACGACACCTGAAAATAACAGGGGAAAACACAAAAAAGAGTAACATCAAACATTCAAAAAGGCAAAGGAATAGTAACTGTGAAATAGTCATTTGTAAAATGTGCCTTACATGCAGAGAGGCTATGCTGATGAGTTTGGTAAAGTGTAACCTCAACACATGCACACAGACACGTACATGTATCTGCAATTAGGCAGAGGGGGTTGAATAGTTTCGAACCTGGGGAAACGAAACGCACACTAGTCCTTTTCAAAGCTGGAAATTGATACCTTTCTGACCGGAGTTAGAGTCAAACATGTACATGTAATGCACCTTTAAAACTGCGCTCAAAAGCTCAACTTCTGGACCAGCGTATGAAAGTGACCATCCTTGTAAAGCATGTTCCTCTGTATTACAGCAATGCGTTTCACACTTAAAAAGTCATCAACCCTAACAGTCCTCAATCCTTCACCTGTTGGGGATTGAGGACTGTTAGGGTTAAGTCACTGTCGCTTAGCTACTGTGTTAACATGTAGGTTTCTCAGTTTTATCCAGAGGACTTGGCCCAACATACTGCTGTATGTATAAACAACTCCATGCATGCATGTGTACGTGAGATCGTCGCCAACTATTCACAGCATCAGAACCCCGTTCTGTGCCCTTTTCTTGCACACCCATACGTTTGTATAAACAGCTCTCCTCTTCATGTGTACCCATGCATGTACATGTACATGTACCTGAACAAATACCATGGCAACCAAACACCCATCCCAGTTTCTCTCTGCAGAGTCTAAATTTGCATATTAATTGAAATTGGCACTTTTGAATGATTACTGAGTATGGAGTTCTTTGTACAATGCACATCTATTATTCAGCATTCTGAAATTTTAACAAACCTTTCATGCCAAAATTATGAGCACAACCCATTCATTTCAGAATTGATGTGGCAAACAATACCATCTGTACAGTGTATTGCTCGAATGTAGACTTCATTATTCAATCAAGGTGAAAAGCATATTTTAATATTGTACAAATTCATAGAGTAACGAACCAAAGTCAAAGAACTCACAAATTTATACGTGTATTAAATCAATTCAGTCCTTTTCAAGGCAGAATTCAGCATTTAAAGACTTGCGTAACAAAATGCAATCATAGACCAACTGTGTCTGCATGTAAAGCTCACCAGAAGTGCACTGAGAATTGAGTTATGAGAAATAGTGAACTAAAGGCAAAACAAAGAGTTTTTCTGGATTTTGTCTTTGCTTTCGCCAGCTTTGACCTGATGATAATTGGTACTTCAATGCTGCATATGACAGGACTGTGATGAGTGAATGGATTGATTCATGTATACCACGTGCCTTTGGCACCCCTACAAATAGGGAGTACAGTTGGACCCATTTTTGGTCGTATGTTTGCTGTTTCATCACCTCAGTCCTTCATATATTCCCAACATACCCTTTGTGAAAACAAAGCGTAACGTTCTGTTTATCACGTGTCGAAAAACATGAAACAATAGTTTTTGTATCCAAAGAATGCCTCCAAAATAACTTCAGAGAATTTAAATTTTTATTTCAAGAGCGTAGCACAGAAGCATGCCACCTAGGCATTCTCTAACCTTTTTGTTTAAGCACTGAGGTTTTCCAGTTTCAATCATGGTGCTGCAAGTAAACACCTGAAAGTCTCGAAATCGGTTTAATCAAATCCACAAAAGCCTACTACTTATGTTTTGAATTCTTGGCCGCACAGCTTGTAATCAACATAATTAATTTTTTTCTCATTTTAAGTGAGCTGGACCGTACCTGTATATGAAAGTCACAAGTAATTTTGTAACACCATCTTGGAATGAAATTTTCAAACTGTTTCTGCCTGGAATCATTGCAATCAACTGTACATTTGTATGCCTATAAATATTCATTTCTGGTTCAGATTTTTTATTCCGATCTTAATTTTACATTCATCACTGTTCCACTGCTCTCAATATAACAATTGGCAAGAATATTGACAAGGATCAATATGTAAATTACACTCCAGCCAAGGCCACAGCTGGTCCATTTTAAAAAGTGCTACCACTGAATGTGTGTACAGATTTGCAACAGCTTGGCAACAAGACAGAAACTGTATCAAATACATGAGAGAAAAAATATCCTCATACAGGTACCAGTACATGTGTTGACTTCATTAACTGATTCAAATTTACTGAGGTACTTACAGAGAAAAAGAGCTGTATCTGTGGGAAGGTGTATAATATCGTAGTGCATAACGTCATCATCATTTAAAATTGAAGGGCAATTGTACAACGGAGAGATAACCGTTCAAATTTTACTGGTTGAAGAGAAATAAGGCATATAAATTATGATAAGTATGGTCTACTTTATGCAAAATGTTCTTAGTGTGTGGTCTGTAGAATTCATAATGCCTAATATTGGAGAGAAAAAAAGAATCACTTTTGGGAGTCTTTTAAAAATATATTGGGGTATGATTTTTTGGGGGGGTCGATTTTGCCTTAGAAAATAGAAAAATGTGCTTTTTTGTGCAATAAAATGATTGATTTAAGCGTTAATCATGTTTAAGTCCAACAATCCAACAATTTAGGAAAAGGAAAATTACACACCTAAAATAAAATCACAAAATTACACCAGTTTAAGGTCACAATGATGTATGCATGTGACCGCTTAGTGAGTGGAATATGAACGTGTGTGCTTATCTAGGAAATTACCTAAAGTGGTGTGGAATGCAAGAATTTGGACGCAAAATTGAAAAATGGAATGGAGACACTGAGGTCCATGCATACTGTGCAGAAGTTTTCAGAGACAAAAATCATTCCACAAGGACTGGTACTGCCAACTCAAATGAAATCTTCACTGTCCAATTTTCAGATGACACATGCTATTGATGTGAGTATTACACAGTACACTGTAAGTCAGCAACATCCGCAACCAAAGGATTTAAAAATCGGCTTCAGCATAGGAATCCTGAAAACCTTCTGCTCTATGCGCACAGTCTCCTGGTTCTGAGAGGATACTATCCGTTGCCAGGAGACAAGACAGACGGAGATTGATTAGTGGCCATCAAAAGGGGCCAAGTGCCGAAAATGGCCAGAGTAACCCAATTCGTCTCTACTGCTTACAAACCTACACGTTTCTTACCAGTTGGCATAGAAGTTGACAAAGACCACCTCGTTAGTGGCAATGACTTGATCGAAGTTGGATCGCGACAGCTCCATCGTAAACCCCGTCTGGGTTGACGTGTGACTAAACGACGACACCTGCAGGTGGACAAAGTTTCAAGAAGTACAAGGGACATTTTCCACAATCAACGTGAAGTTGAAAATGCCAAATACATGTACATGTAGATACAGTGCATGTGATGTGCGGACAATGCAGTTTGATTTCTTCTTTAATCTTCCCCTTTCCGTCATTACTTCAAATCATAAACGTACATGTATCTGCCTCGTGGACTAAATGTACACTGCACATGAGCAGGTGTGGGGGAAGTCACATTGTCTGCTTCATGTAGTTATGTGCAAATGCAAGAAGAAGTAGCGAAATTGTGCTGCCTTCTTTCTTGGCACCGTCAGTGCATCGTGTGGTGGAAACCAGGTCAAGAAAATAGGAGCAAGTAAAGAGTCTACATTTATCCAACATGTCAACAAATACACAGAAATATAAAATGTCCTACACAATTGCCATGATTGAATAAAATGAATGTGTCATTGTGCTTGGTGTACAAGGCACTAACTTAGGACTGCTTTGGGGGGGGGATTTCCAAAGAACAGATCTCCGTCTAAGCCAGCGGCAAAATTATATCCCCCCGTTACCAGTGGTGTAGTTGAGTCCATCACAACTCCCTGCAATGCCACTGTAAGTCATCCAGTCTAATGGTAACAGCCTCCCTTTGTCACTGTTTTTTTTGTCTACTTACGACTGTCATGAAATGACTTGTGATGGGGATGACTACAACACTGCCTGACATGTACGAAAATGTCTCACACAAAAGAGTGTTCATTCACAAGATTAAAAAACAGCATGCAATACATACACACGTACACGTACATGTATACATACATGTACATGTACATGTAAGTACTGACTCGCCGAGTACCGACACAAACCTATAAGTTCTTGGCAAGGGGGCATGCGTTACACATGAAACAACTTAGCCAATCAGATAAGATGGCTCTTTTTCGTACGAGACACCTGTAAGAATAAGAGTAAGAATACCATCGACCCCACACCCAATTCGTCATGATCCTACATGTACATGTACAAACATCAGACCTACCGTACATGTGTATGTACAAGTACTACAGGTGAGACAGGTAAACAGGGAATGCTAGGGCACTGTTAGTCACCCCAGGCCCCACTCTAAATTGAAAGACAAGAGTACAGTGCCCGAGTATCTTAGTCTACAACAGTCACAGCTACACACGCCTTATCCTGAACTTAATGACCAACATAGTCCAACAGTTCAGCAATAAATCTTACGTTTTTAACAAACTTTATATTATTATCCTAGTTGGCTGAAATGTGGTCATGCGTGCATGGGCTTGTAGAGAGACGAGACATCACTCACACATGAATTCTGGAGTGTTAGGCTAGTCTAGTATCGCTCAAACATCTTGATAGGTTACAGTGTCCTCACATGATGAGGACAAACTTAAGCAACTCAAAACTGAACCAAAGAAACTTTCAAGAAAGCATTACTTTCATTACAGAATTGCTTGCTAAATGATTAGTTGACGGGGGAAGAGTTCAATATCCGATGTGCTATGAAACATATGGGAAAAGAGTTCCATATATATACATGACTGATGCCACTTGACACCCCATGCACAAACCCTAGGAGATTGGTCCGAAAAGTTCCAAGTGTTTTTAAGTATTTTATGAAGATGAACAAAGAAATTAACTGGAGCGGGATTTGAACATGCGACCTCCAGAATATCGTACAGGTTCTCTACGAACTGAGCTACCCAGCCCTATGTTGGTGGCTCTTCCCATTTGTCTATACCTTTGTTCAAGGGGTGCTAGCCAGACACCATTAAACCTGAAACACCATATAGCCAGGGATCCCACCCGGATAACATGATACAACCTGGGAAGTGGTCACCAAGGACCACTCGGAGAGGATACACTTTTTGAACCTAAATCAAGAAACAAATAATATCTATAAAACTGACTAGGTGTATGATTGTTAAGATGAACATATATATTTAACTCATTTTTATGTTTTCTAAGTAAACGACTTCGTATTTTCCCTCATAAATTGAACTTTTCTGGACATGTTTTGCTCTCTGAATGGTCACTGTAGGGAATAATTACTGGCATCCGTATATGGAAGTTGGAACTCTTCCCAACACGTGCAAGTAGGCCCATAACGGCACAAAGCCATAAGCGCATCAGCATAACTCGGTCACTGACGTCTGGTACACATCCATTCCCCCCCAACAGCCTGTGAGCACCTCCATTTGACCACAGCATGTGAGTGACCATGCAGCCTTGCAGGTTCGACGTCCGTCCAGTTCCCAAGACGTTGGGCCCCAGTTCTGGGGAAAGGACAGGCATGACAGGACCTTCCCTTGGCCTTTCGCCTTGTGAAAAAAAGAACCCTCTGCTGGTCACTCTCAGAATCCTTGCTCTATGCTCACAGTCACTGAATAAGCCCTATGTACATGTACATTACAGCATGTATGTTACACTAAACCTGCTGCATTGCTGGAGTGTGCTTCAGTTCACAACGCATTATTCACAGATCGAAGCAAATAGGCCAACGAAGTAATGTTCTCAATCTCCCACAAAACTACAGTGACACCTACCAAAATCAGCAGCACAAACGGCAGACACTTCAAGACGAACCTTGCATCCATCGTATCCACGAAAGACCGAACCACTCGTCGCTCGCCGGCAACCATATTTTCTGCAAAAACTGTAAACTATGCCACTGTACTGTATGCAGATCGACAGTGTGTTAGGTCAATGTCAGGGCGGCCGGCCGTGCCGGCGAATTCGTAAACGGCGAACCACATTCAGCCACGCTGACACCTGGCTGTTAATGAACGCTAGAGGGCGTCATCCGGAAACTTTCGCACCTGTCTCGCGCCGTGCTGGTTGAGCTGTGGTGTCAATCATAAAATGCGGCTTTCATTTCATTTTACAAATACCAAAATTAAACAAACTCTCTCATACTTTCAAGACAGATATTTTATCGAACATTTACTTATCATTTTTAACATTCTGTAATTGGGGGAAGTACGATCAGTTTGGGTGAATTTTAATTTCCTTGCAAATTTCGCATAACATAGTCCAGAAACTACCCTTGAAAACAAAACCGTTCCCTGGGTACAAGCCTTGGGGGTGCGGTCAGTGTGGTCAAACACAGGTAAACGCAGCATGCGCACCTTGGAGCCAAATTATCGCACAGTTGTGTTTTCAGTCCCATTGTGAAATTAATCAAATCCGGAAGGGTTGTCTTCATTTTGAGGACTACATAATGATGATTGAGTCCCTACCTCAATGCGCCTGAGCTTACAAGAAGTGCTTAAACATGTTTATAGGGCTATTGAAGCACTATTAGGCGTCATGTGAGCATGTTGGCCTGTTGTAATGAGCCGAAATCCGATAAAACTCGATTTTATCTTTTCAGACTTTTGAGCATTGAGGCCATATTTTCCCTCAGGGTTTTTACACCCTCAGGGTTTTTACAAGGATGACTAGATCCACTTCACTCCCGAGCCGAAGGGCCACGTGCAATGTGGTGGCGGTTCATTGAAGTAGAAAAATGAAAATTCAGCCTTACTTCTGGCCCACAAAGATAGTCTGTTGAAATTTATAATGCTCAAATCTAACAGATAGATCAGACAAATCAAAAAGAAAAAGGAAAATATGTACCTTATAGAAAAAAGGATGTCGTTTTCCATCATGAATTTGCTGTGGCGTAATTAGAGGTAAAAAGTAAAAAGTATCCAGGGGCACCCGGTCGTGCAGACATTTTTTTCAAGGAGGCACCACTAATAAGCTACAGCTCCATAGTTATAGACACTCAACAGAGTATTCACAGATTTCAAATGGGGGGGGGGGGTTACGGTATGGGCATCCACTGGGGGCACGTGTCCTCAGTGGGAACCCCCCCCGTTACCCCACTGTGAGTCATGAGTGATCAGAGAGCGAAAAATTACATAAATCAATGCACTTGGCGTGCATGTTTAAACCTTACATTCTTCATGACTTAACTGATTTTTTTTCAGCATCAAAAGTTGGAAAAAGAAAAACAAGATTTAAGGGAAAGAGGTGGGGTGTAAAAACCAAATGGAGAATGTCAGAACATCCAACTTTGAGTACGTCATTGGAAATTCGAAAGGAACCTGCCAGTGGCGTAAATCTGTGCTGGAAACTGGGGGTTGGAGGATGGGGAGGTTGGGGGGGGGGTGACTTGCCTGACCATGGAAATTTGAAAAGCGCCTACACCACAATACACTATATAGGGGTTATGTTTATGATAAAGATGTACAACAGTAACATGTACCAAATTCATGCAGAATCTTATATCAGAACTGCATTTATAGATTTATAAAATTGCTTCCCCTGTTAAGTGATAATTATTGCAAACAGTCCTAGAAATCCTAAAAAAAATCTTTAAAATCCAGTGAAATATTTTTTTAATCACAAAAAGTGCGTGTGTGTGGG